ACGCTTTGGGGAAGCAAGCCGCCATGGGACTATTACAGAGATAGTCTGAAGGCGACTAGAAGGAAGGCCATGAGGTGGTAAAGGACCAGCAAAGGTCCAAGGGCAGGAATTCGGGCCAGTCCATTGGTAACTCTGGGACTTTAACTGGTAGGGTTCAGCAGCCTGGGAGTGGGATCCCAGCAGCCATGGAGAGGGATCAACATTTCCATTAACATTGTGTGGACATTCACATCTGTGAAGGAAGTGTCTAAACTCTAGTTTTAGGGAAGCTGGTCTTTTGATCCGGGTTTGCACGACAAAGCACCACTCCAGTGCTTATAATTCTAGGACTCCCTGTTTCACAGCCATTAGCATCAGACAGGTTTCCACCAGTTTTCATGCAAGTCACTGCCCTAACAACCTTCCTGTGTGTGTGTACAGAAGGAAGAGCCAGATATATGATAAGCAATGGTTTATGACAGACCCAACAAATGCCTTTGATACAGAATGCCTTTGAGATGTTACCTTACGCTGCTGGTCATTCTTTTTGACAACTTCGATTGTCAACTGACCTATAGTAAAAGGAACACCCTAGAATAGTTTCTCAACCTCAGCACTAACGAAATATGATGCCAGATAATTCTTTGCTGTGAAGGTTGTCCTGTGGATTATAAGATGTTTAGCAGTATCCCTGGCCTCTACCCACTAGGTGCCAGTAGCAGCCCTCCCCGCTGGGGGTAGAATTTGCCCCTGGTTGGGAATCACTACCCTAGAAGTACAATAATAATCCTTGATGAAAACCATACTAGTGTCCACATTTTATCACTTTGAACTCAACTGTGATGATCTCCCTAACTAGCAGTTCTCCGAGGACCTTCTTCCTCATGACCAAGTCCCCAGTTGTTGTATCACTTCATCTGGCAAGGCAGAGCTAAATGGTTGCAAAAAAGTAAACTGAGAAACAAGAGCTACACAAATTTACAGGCATTTCATCAAGAGTGGTTCAAGTTTTATAGAGCCTGAAACTTACACACCTTGGGAAGCCCTTTTCGTGAACACTGCATAATCGTAAACACAAAATCGCTAGGGCCCCTCTTGGGGTGCTGGAAGAGGCTGGGACTCAGTCTTTATTGGTTTCTCCATGAACCTGCTTCTATACCTCATGCAAACTTGATTCTTTGCTCAGTTTTCTTCTCTTGTCTGAACTTTTTCCTCCCAGAATACTATGTTGGATAATCCCACATATAACATTCACTTCCAATGTGCTTTTCTCTTGTAAACAATTACTTAAGATATTACCCTTTTGTTCTTTTTTTCCACAAGTTACTGAAGGCGAAACCATACTGCTTTCGGCAAAAGAGTTGCAAAGTTGATCTGAGACTATGTAAAAGAAACCATCTAAATCTCAATTTCCCAGGGTATATGGAAAATGAAATTGTTCTACTTATTAAAATAGCATTTCTTAACCTTCTTGTGACTTACTAAAAATGACCATTAACATTTTCAGTCGGTTGCATTTTGGTTTTGGTCAGAGTTTCTTCTGTTTCACTGAGAACTTCGGTGACATTTATCCTTCACTTCCTTTTTTTTTCTGCTGCCCTCTGGGGCTGAGGTTAGGGGATGTGATGCTCTTGTTGGTCAAACGGCTTCTCCTTTTGGATAGGATCGGCTGACACCCAATACTCCAATTTATGATAACAAATTATGTCTTCCTTTTCAAAGTACTCTAATATTTACTCTCATTAATGTTATATGTAAGAAACTCTTGTGAGTGCAGCATAAACCAGGCTCACTTGGGAATCCATCAGTAAATAAGGTCCTCTCCTCACCCCAATGAGGCTTACAGTCAAGTAGGAATGACATATATATATATATATATACACACACACACATAAACAACAGCAATAATAATGCCCATCATCATCATTTGAGTGTGTACTATGTTCCTACACTACTCTAAGCACTTCACAAACATTACCTCAAAATATAAGGCAGAGTGTGATGTATAATGACAAATCACAAACTGTGATATCTGGGGCCATATTAATTACGGCTTTCCGGGGAACAGCAGGGAAGGTTCATGGAGCAAAGGGAATCTGAATGGAGCTCTTGGGGTCACTGTGCTTTATCCAGGTAGAGATGCTTCGAGTCATAGCACAGACGCTCATTTCTTAGTAGCCCTGATGTGGTTCAGGACATGGTATCCCCAGAATACAGCACCTTGGCACATTATTTCAAACTGAAGGAATTTGAGAAACAACATTTACTGGAAGGTCTCTCTGACCGTTCCCTGCCCTTCTGCCCTGAAGCAGGTCATAAGACTTTTATTCAAGAGGTGCCCTCCCTATATCCAGAAGAAAGGAACTGTCTTTTTTCTTTTCTTTCTTTTTTTTTTTTTTTTTTTGAGACAGAGTCTCACTCTGTCACCCAGGCTGGAGTACAGTGGCGCGATCTCAGCTCATTGCAACCTCCACCTTCTGGGTTCAAGCGATTTTCCTGCCTCAGCCTCTTGAGTAGTTGGGATTACAGGCATGTGCCTCCATGCCTGGCTAATTTTTGTATTTTTAGTAGAGACAGGGGTTCACCATGTTGGCCAGGCTGGTCTCAAACTCCTGGGCTCAAGCGATTTGCCCACCTCGGCCTCCCAAAGTGCTGGGATTACAAGAGTGAGCCACCATGCCGGGTCAGAAGAAAGGAACACTCTTATCTCTGAAGACATAGGAAGACAGAGAAGAATTTGAACAAACGTATGTTGCTAAGCTCCCCCCAGTTTAGTATCTTTAGATCATATCCCCTTTGTCCTGTTATATTTCTCCATGACCGTCCACTCTTCATCAAAGGTAGCAATAACAATACACAACCCTGTGCCTTTGGGTATTCATTTGCTTAAAAGGTCCCTGTGTCACGTAAAACATACCAAATAAATTTGCATGTTTTTCTCTTGTTAATCTGTCTTTTGTTATAGAGCTCTCCACTGTAAACCTAGCGATGGGTCAGGAAAAGATATTTCTCCTTATGTTCTCACACAATATTTGAAGCTACTTATTAAAAAAGTGCAGCCATAATAGATTGTTAAAACAAGAATGGAACACAAAGATCACTTTTAGGAAGAGAAGAGAGAGCTATATGAGAAAACCTAGACTAAGAATATTTCTTAGAATTGAGCTAAAATGCTGCCTCAGTGGCTCATGCCTGTCATCCTAGCACTTTGGGAAGCCAAGGCAGGAGGATCACTTGAGGTCAGGAGTTCAAAACCAGCCTGGCCAACATGGTGAAACCCTGACTCTACTAAAAATACAAAAATTAGCCAGGCATGGTGGCTGACTCCTATAATCTCAGCTACTCGGGAAGCTGAGGCAGGAGAATCACTTGAACCCAGGAGGCGGAGGTTGCAGTGAGCCAAGATCACACCACTACACTTCAGCCTGGGCGACAGAGCAAGACTCTGTCTCAAAAAATAAAAAAAGAATTGAGCTAAAATGAAAGTGTTCTGGCAATTTAGGTATCATGAGTTTCCTAACTTCACCTTCTTTTTTTTAAAAAAGGACACACGTGGTTGCTCTAAACTCTAAGAAAGCTGACAGAGAGAATCTTTATTCAGGGATGGTGAATGGCAGTAAAATTCTTTTTCACAGATACAGAAATGTCTTTCATGTGTCTTACACTTAAATTGTTGTCTTGTGGTGGCATTTGTGTGGGGAGCTGAGAAGCTTCCATCTAAGAGTACCCCTTTCTGGTGCTCTAACTCTAATCTGACTGTGGGAGACAGTGGAGAGCAGTGCTTTTCAAGCTCTAATGTGCATCTGAATGACCTGCGGATTCTAAATCAGTCATCTGGGGTGGGGCCTGAGGTCACGCATTTCCAACAAGCTTGAGAGGCTGAAGGCTTAGAGCAGCAGTTCTCAAACCTGAGCATGCATCAGAAACACAGGGGGCCTTGTGAAAACGGGTGGCTGGGCACCACCTCCAGGGTTTTTGATATAGTAGTACTGAGGTGGGCCTCAAGAATTTGTATTTCTTAGCTGGGCATGGTGGCTCACACCTGTAGTCCCAGCACTTTGGGAGGCCGAGGCGGGTGGATCGCTTGAGGCCAGGAGTTCCAGATCAGCCTGGCCAACATGGCGAAACCCCACCTCTACTAAAAATACAAAAATCAGCTGGGCGTGGTGGCAGGTGCCTGTAATCCCAGCTACTCAGGAGGCTGAGGCAGGAGAATCACTTGAACCCAGGAGACAGAGGCTGCAGTGAGCCAAGATGAAGCCACTGCACTCCAGCCAGGGTAAGAGTGAGACCCTGTCTCAAAAACAATAAATAAAATAAAGAATTTGCATTTCTTTTTACTCATTCATTCATTCATTTATGAGAAGGGAAGTGGTGAAGTGGGGGCGGGGGGGGTCTCACTAAGTTCCCCAGGCTGGTCTTGAACTCCTGAGCTCAAGAATTCTCCCACCTCAGCCTCCTAAAGCACTGAGATTACAGGCAAAAGCCGCTAGGCCCAGCAGAGTTTGCATTTGTTTTTTGGGTTTTTTTTCTTTTGAGACGGAGTCTTGCTCTGTTGCCCAGGCTGGAGTGCAGTGGCCAGATCTCTGCTCACTGCAAGCTCCACCTCCTGGGTTCATGCCATTCTCCTGCCTCAGCCTCCCGAGTAGCTGGGACTACAGGCGCCCACCACCGCGCCTGGCTAATTTTTTTTGTATTTTTAGTAGAGATGGGGTTTCACCGTGTTAGCCAGGATGGTTTCGATCTCCTGACCTTGTGATCCGTCCACCTCGGCCTCCCAAAGTGCTGGGATTACAGGCGTGAGCCACCGTACCGGGCCCAGAGTTTGCATTTCTAACAAGATCCTGCGTGATACACATTTTAAGAACTGCTGGCTTAGAACATCCCTCATGAATGTGAGTGGTCCCTCACCAGCTTTACCTGAAAGTTGAGGGTTATGAAATTCAAGATGAAACAACCATGATAGGCCTTCTGAGCAGATATTTTGTGAGTTTAAATGAAAAGAGATCCACATGCCTTACTTAGATAATGAAGATAAGGATAGCTAACGTTTATTAATCTTTTCTCTTTGTAACACACTAAGGGTATCACACACATTATCTCACTTGGCATCTGGCATGGGCAGCAGTGTTGGTGTTTGCTGTCTGGCTGAGGAGCCAGCCTCGTGTGCGTGCTGGGAGGGAGTGTTTTCTGCGCGCTGTTGTGGTCTGCAGAGGTACCTGCATGCCAGGCCAAACTGTCCCTCAGGAAACACCTTTAGATCTAGACTAGCAGACGCTAGAGGTCCGAGTTCTGCTTCATAGTCTGCAGGAAATAAATGAAAGAAGTTGAGGGCAGGTGCTAACAATCATCTGTTTTAACCGCAAAAGTGCCTGAATATAGAACAGAATTTGTCAAGCCTGGCATACAGCAGGAGCACCTGGATGCCCAGGACCCATCCACAGAGGGTGTGATTAGATTGGCCTGGGGAGACACCTGGGCACACGCATTTTTTAAGAGCTTCCCAGCCAGGGTTGAGAAACACTGGTACAGGTTTGATTGGAGCAAGATGAATCAGGGCGGCTGGGGAAGGGAAGGGGCAGAGACCAAATTGAACAAAACAAAACATCTATTCCCAGACTGGATCTCTCTTAAGCATTTGCCAAATTGGCCAAATTGGTTTTGTGCTATTCTTTTTTTTTTTTTTTTTTTTGAGACGGAGTCTCGCTCTGTCGCCCAGGCTGGAGTGCAGTGGCCGGATCTCAGCTCACTGCAAGCTCCGCCTCCCGGGTTCGGGCCATTCTCCTGTCTCAGCCTCCTGAGTAGCTGGGACTACAGGCGCCCGCCACCTCGCCCGGCTAGTTTTTTTGTATTTTTTAGTAGAGACGGGGTTTCACCGTGTTAGCCAGGATGGTCTCGATCTCCTGACCTAGTGATCCGCCCGTCTCGGCCTCCCAAAGTGCTGGGATTACAGGCTTGAGCCACCGCGCCCGGCCTGTGCTATTCTTTAGAACAGTGGTCTTCAAATTTAGCATGCATCAGCGTCACCTGGAGGGCTCCTTAAAGCAGATTGCTGAATCTACCCCCAGAGTTTCTAATTTAGCAGGTCTGGGGTGGGCTCAAGAATTTGCATTTCTAACAAGTTCCCAGGTGATGCTGACACTGCCAGTCCCAGAAGTCAGTTTCTTTGCTATTAAGACCTTAATTGCAACGTAGAGAAGGATGCCTATATTTCTTATTTTCTACTTCTTCTCAAGTGTTTTTTACTGAAGCAAAAAAAAAAAAAAAATGCAAACAAAAGTGAAAACAGGCCGGGCGCGGTGGCTCATGCCTGTAATCCCAGCACTTTGGGAGGCGGATCACCTGAGGTCAGGAGTTCGAGACCAGCCTAGCCAACATGGTGAAACTCCACCTCTACTAAAAATACAAAAAGTAGACGGACATGGTGGCACATGCCTGTAATCCCAGCTACTCAGGTGGCTGAGGCAGGAGAATTGATTGAACCCAGGAGGCAGAGGTTGTAGTGAGCCGAGATGGTACACTGTACTCCAGCCTGGACAACAGAGTGAGATTCCATCTCAAAAAAAAGAAAAAAAAGTGAAAACATGTGAAATCATTCATAATCGAACGATAGCCACAGTAGACAGCTTTTTTTCTGTGTAGTAGGTATGTATGCATACAGATTTTCTCTCAGAAATTGTAATGGTCATATGAAGAATGTGTTTGCATCTAGAAAGATATTTATGCATTATTTCAAGTTCCTTATATAATCTATATAATACACAAAATTTATATAATTTTTGCTATGAGTTTGGAATTATAACAGTTTATTTCTTTTGATAATACCTTCAATATTATGTAATACAAATAGCTTTAAACATCTATATCTAGCTATTTTAATAAATGTTCAAGAGGCTACAGTCTTATTAAAATGCTATTTAAGTTGAAGTCTAGTGGTATTATTTTGGTAAAACCCCTGAAGATATGTTAGAAGTGTAGTAGGATCTTTTATCAAGCTACATAGCTTGACCCATAAATGTTTTTCGTTTATGAAACCAGAATATCTCCACAGAGGAGATCCATAGAAGAAAGAAATCAGAATAAAGTCAAGAGATACTAAAGGGTCTCCATGTTTATAACCCTTTTCTTAATTGAGAATAGTCGTGAATAGCGAAGACGAAGAGTGGCATGTATTCAGAATTTGTCCCTCACATGTAGGACAAGAGTTAGAAAACCAGCTCACATCACCTGGCAGATGATGGCACAATCGGATGAGGTTGTTTAGTTTGCAGACTAAAAGATTATATTATTAAAAGGAAGACAGAGAAGAATTTAAACAACAACCTGTCCACTACGGTAAAACACAAAAATACAAATTAAGAGACAAAACCTCCACAAAGGACCAGGCAAATAAAAATACCAAAAAGCTGCAACTGTTCTGAAGAGTAAGCCTGAAATTAAATTCAGGAATTTCTTAAGGGAGGACAGCCGGGGCAGCCCCAGAAGGCTGGTGGTAGTCTTCATTCACTGCCTCGGGGGAGAAGCCTGTCCTCACTTTCAGAGGTGTGGAGGTGTGGGCCATTCCTGCTACCTTCCTTCCCCCCCGAAGACAGCCCTGTCCCCTCACCGCCTTGAGGCACTTTCAGCAGTACCCAGACACAGTCTTTGATCTTCCCCCTGGGATGAACAGCACCAACAAAGGAGAAGGCAGTGTTCTCACCCCTGGCTGCACTCCTAAAAACACCTGTCCTGTGCCCCACCCGGGGGCTTCTAATTTAATTGGTCTGGGGTGGGAAACGAAGTAGTAGTTTTGCTTTTTGTTTTTGTGTGTGTGTGTGTGTGTGTTTTGTTTTGTTTTTGAGACAGGGTCTTGCTCCATTGCCCAGAGTTGGGGTGCAGTGGTGCACTCATGGCTTACTGCAGCCTTAAACTCCTAGGCTCAAGCAATCCTTGTGCCTCAGCCTCCTAAAGTGCTAGGATTACAGGCATGAGCCATCGTGAACAGCAGTGAGCTGAGATCACAACACTGCACTCCAGCCTGGGTGACTAAGCAAGACTCTATCTAAAAAAAAAAAACCCACAAAAACAAAAACAAAAACCACTATCCAGTGGCATGTCTTAAGAAAAAAATAAAAACGGTATTTATAGCCTGTGTAAATTAAAGGTGGGAGAGGGTGGAGGAGATGCTGACAGTCCCAGTGCCTGGTGGGGAGGGGGCAGTTTGCTTTACTCATTTATATACAGTAGTGATCACTGCATGGCCAACCCGTCCCCCAGCTAGGACCAGCCAGCAAAAGCAGATGAGGCAGCCGCTCATCTAGTGTGATCTGAGGGACACCAAAGACTCTGCTGCACCAACCCCCTGCCACAGTATTTACCGTGCTCTGATCAGGATAGCCCTTCCTTGGGTAAAGACCCCATGTTTCTAGGGGCCACCTTTCAAAGCCCTAGATGTCCTTGTGGAAGGCAGAGGGTTCAATCCAAGACAATCCTTTAGACCTGTCAGTTCCAAAGGAGGTCTACACCATACGTGTCTAAATATTTAAAAGTTACAATCAAGCCAACAAACTGATGAAATATGTTCCATCTTCCTACCCTGATGACAATTTGGAAGGCTGGGTTCAACTTCAGAATTCTCAGGCTCTACTTAGACTTCTGCCAGAAGTGGTGGCACATGAAGGGCCAGTCAGCCTCTAGCCTCAGCTCATGTCCAGCCTCCCTTCTCCTCCCACCCTGGATCCCTCCCACACCACAGGGGCCTCCTGTATAGGTATGTGGACACCCCTGCCTGCACATTCAAGCTCTGTCCAACTGCCCCTTCGCTACTCTGGGCTTTGGGATGCACACACCACAAACGTAGTCTGCCCTCAAGAGCACCGACACTGGGAACAGGCCTGCAGGAGAGCTGGGGCTCTTTGAGTTCTCAGGTTCCCAAACTCTGATCTTGAAGGAGAGCATGGGCTCCGGGCTGGGGAGGAGTCCCCTTGGTCCTAAGGACTCTTCACCCCATGGAGAGGTGCATGGCAGGAGCAGGCCCCTCTAAAGTGCAGGACTCAGGGCAAGGGCCCTCTTGCCAGTTCTAATGAGTGAAGCAGGTAACAGAGAAATACCAAGGAAGAATGAAAGGAGAATATGTGGACACAATGGGATGCTGCCTGGGGAGGAGCTCACAATGAGGAGTCCCTGGGCAGCCAGGGGGCCAGCCCAAGACTGGGGAAAGAAAAGCTAGGAAAGCAGGAATGTGAAAGGAGGTGAATGGAAAGTAAAAAGGCACTGAAAACAAACCTACTTGATAACAAACCTTGCTCCCTTTGGGTATATTTTAGTTATGTATGTGTGATGCATGTTTTTTGTTTGTTTGTTTTTGAGACAGAGTCTCGCTCTATCTCCCAGGCTGGAATGTAGTGGTGCGATCTCGGCTCACTGAAACCTCTGCCTCCTAGTTCGAGTGATTCTCATGCCTCAGCCTCCTGAGTAGCTGGTATTACAGGTGCCTGCCACCACATCTGGCTAATTTTTGTATTTTTAGTAGAGACAGGGTTTCACCATGTTGGCTAGACTGGTCTCGAACTCCTGACCTCAGGTGATCTGCCTGCCTCAGCCTCCAAAGTGCTGGGATTACAGGTGTGAGCCACTGTGCCCAGCTGATGTATGCATTTTTAATTGAACCATTAATCCTACTCCCCAGTTCAAGGCACATCATCATCATCCTTATTATATATTTGGGTGGTAAAAGGTCACTCTTGTTTTATTTACGTATTTATTTCATTTTCATTCCCCAATGCCCACCCCACATCCCCATTGGCAACAACTGTAATATATTAAATGGTATTTTGTATACACAGGGGGCCATCCTGACCCCTCTCTCTTCACTCCTGCATGCAATAGCCCTGTCTGAACCCAGGAACCATTCCTCTACATAGATCTGTTATGTCTCTTCAAAGTGGTCATGCATCCTCCATGTCCAGGACAGGATATAGCTGGCTCCCTCCTAGGCCTTGCAGGAAGACTAGAACACGTTAAAACTTCTAGAAGGCCTTATTAAGCCTAGAATGGACTTTTGCATAGATCACTCCACCTTGGACCCTGTAGAAAGGAAGTGCCAAAATCCCACTAGAAGTCATTTTCATCTGTAAATAAGTCCCTGACATGTTTTGTTGTTATGTTATTTTGAAGCCTATCCCATTCCAGTATCATATTTTAATCTCCTAAAAAAGAGTTTGTCATAAATGTCCTACAGTGGGTAATGTGCCTGTACTAATTTTTTTTCCCCGGAAACCAGTCTGTTTTAAGTTTCTGGCTACCAAGTGTATAATAGTAATTATAATTCTTTATCTTTTATATTACAGTTATCTCCTTTAGTCATTTCCTGATAATCATTTTGTTTTGTCATTTCTATTACCTTGGGATACCAGAAACATGGGTAGAATTTTATTAACACAAAATAGTTGATTAATTGACTCCTAATTATAGCATCCAAAGTGCAGACATTTCAAATCTGGCTGTCATCCAGTCTGTCCCTGGATCTAAGGCAAAAAAAAAAACTAAAAAATAAAATAAAATAAACGAAATCTGGTTGTTTCATAGGATTGTGTGTGTGTGTGTGTGTGTGTGTGTTAAAAAATAATTTACATATCTAAATTATCCTGAGGCCAATTTAAAATAAACTTTTAGTATCAATCCTAATTTTTTCCCTTTAATAACACATTTAAATCTTTTTCTTCTTTTTGTTTTTAGAGAGGGTCTCACTTTGTTGCCCAGGTTGGTCTTGAACCCTGAGCTCAAGGGATCCTGCTGCCTCAACTTGCCAAAGTACTGGAGTTACAGGTGTGAGCCACCACACCCAGCCAGATTTAAATCTTAATATGAACTAAATGACCCTTTCAGTCAGAACTGGCATCTTCCAGTAATTTCCCAAAATGACAAACACAAAGAGAAAGAGGCGAGGCACCCAACCTGCGTTCTCTAGGCCTTTTAGAAAACATGGAGTTGTTCCTTTGGCCACATATATGCCAATCTAAAGAAAGGTGATATTGTAGACATCAAGGGAATATGTACTGTTCAAAAAGGAATGTCCCACAAATGTTATCATGGCGAGACTGGAAGAGTCTACAGTGTTCCACAGCATGCTATTGGCATTGTCGTAAACAAACAAGTTGAGGGCAAGATTCTTGCCAAGAGAATTAATGGGGGTATTTATTGAGCACATTAAGCGCAGCCACCATAGATTCCTGAAACATGTGAAGGAAAATGATCAGAAAAAGAAGGAAGCCAAAGAGGAAGGCACTTGGGTTCAACTGAGGCGCCAGCCTGCTTCACCCGGAGGAGCTCACTGAGTGAGAGTCAACGGGAAACAGCCTGAGCCGCTGGACCGTCTTCCCTATATGAATTCATGGTGTAATCGGTGTAAAAAAAAATTAAACGACCTCTGGACTGTAAAAAAAAAAAGAAAAGAAAAAGAAAAAAGAAAAAAACAACAACAAATAAATAAATAAATAAATAAATAAATAAATGCACCCTGACCAAAATTGCTAAACAGTTTTTTCCAATTCCATTTATTTTGGTTTTCTAGGAATGTGAACATATGATAAGTTGTGTGGGAAACTGTAGGTGTGTGGTATTAGCAGGGGCAGCTTATCATTAAGATGTCTCTCGTGGTAGTAATATTTCTACGATATCATAGTTGCAAGTTATTTCATTGAAAAAGGTAAGATATTGTAAATAAGACTTAAATCCATGTTTCTAAAAACCATGCCTGAAGACCAGCTCTTAAGGAATACGGGCTCTGAGGATCAGGACAGGAGAGAGGGCAGCAATTGGTCCAGGGAGATGCTCTCCCATCCTGAGAGTCAGAGCTGTCCCGTTGCCTTTGCAGTCCACTCCTCGTTAATCTAAAATGTGGTTCCTAGGAGACTAAGGAGTTGTCACTGAAAATTGGGGTTTGGAGGTATCTCAGGACTCAAGCTGGGAGATCTTTCCCATCCAGGGCAGCTGTTAGCTCATGAAGGATTTTTGTGCAAATTAGGGAAGGTCCTCCAGATAGATGACAGAGCCTGCACTCAAGGTGCCTGGCCAGGAGCATGGGGCCTGGGCTATAGTCCCCGCCATAGCCTCCACAGTACATGTGGCTGTCCTTCTGCATCAGTGTTCAGACAAGCTCTAGCCTCCCCCAGGACACCCTGTCTCCTTCCAGTGACTATCTTAAAGCTCAGTTCCCCTTTCCACCCTTCTGTAAAGTCACCAGTAATTCCATGTGGTTAAATCCAAGGAACTGGTTTTGTTCCTCATATTACTGCCCACTCAGGAAACTCTGGCCCTGCGGATCACTCTCTCCTCAAAATGCTCTTCCCCCTGCCTCTGTGACGCCACATGCTCCTTGGGTTTCTCCTCCTACTCTCCTTTTTCCTCTTAGTTTGGGGCTTCCTCCTTGCAACCATGTTTACATGTAAGCTTCACTTAAGCCTGTCCTGACCTTCCCCTCTTCCTATTCTAGACTCATTCCTATTCCTATTCATGACCTCAGATATGATTCCCACAGCCAGGGAAAGCCTTATTTCTCTATCTTCACATCCACCCCAGAGGGGACAGTACTGGAGCACCTCCCCTGGCTATCTCTCCACCATTTACCACTCTTTTCCAAAGACCAGGTAAATGAGCTGACGGGGGGATGGACGTGGGGTTTGGGGAAAGGCTGCATAAGCTCTAGTGAGCCAAACTGGACCATATGGCTGGTCTGGCAATCCCACCAAGGAGCCTCTGCCTCTGCTGAGGGGAGGTCAATAGCTGGGTGGGGAGATTCAGCGCTGGGGAAGGTACTAGGAAGCTCAGTGGTGTCTGCAGAGTTCCAGTTGCATTTTCCAATCCAACTTTATCAGCAATAAAGTTGATATTGATTCCTAGCTGTGGACTCATTCTACCACCCTCAAAACCCGCACAGGGCCCAAAGCCCAGGAAAGCTTAAGGAACGGGCACAGGGATGGAGACTTAACATATACCCAGTAAGAAGGATGCTTTGGACAGGAGGGGATTCTAAGTCCTTGACTTATTTAGGATACAGCAGTTTAATGAGACTGGTGTTGCAGGACCTCAGCAAACTCAGGCCTTTGCTACCTCAGTATACACAGGCTGCGCAGACTTTGTAACTGATAGATCTAAGCAGGTGCAGACAACATTAGAGGAATCGTTCAGTCACTTAAAACTTGCAGAGCTTCAGTGAATACATTATTTAGGTATCAGAAGTTGGGATACTTTTTTGTCATTCCTACCATGCTCCTCAGGCAGGGATAGGCCAAAGGAAGCTAAGCTCCATGTGGGCTAGAGCTTCGGTTCTCAAACTCTCACATGCATAAGAGTTACTGAGTAAGCTTATTAAAATACAGTTTCCTGGGCTGTATCTAGTCCCACTGGATACAATCATGGAGACCACTCCATGATTGAGTAGGTCTGGGGTAAAACCTAGGAATTTGCATTTCTAACAGGTTCCTAGGTGATGCTACTGGTCTGAGGACCACTGGGTTAGAGTACACTAGCCTGTGTGACTCTAGCCTTCCGCGCATTCGATCAACTGCTTCAAATTCACTTCCTATTTATGTTGTGTTGACCTGAATCCAATTTTAGGGTCAAGAAAAGAACTGTGGTGGAATTAATATCCTGATTCTGTATACTTACCTACAGACTCCTAGAATCACTCTCAAAGCCCATGGCATAAAGTCTTCTGTAGATTTGTTACTTAACCCTGGCCATGGTTTTGATCAGAGACCCAGATTTGGAGGTCAGCCACAGAGTGTAGTGGCTTTTTATCAATGAACAGATAGAGAAATTGGGGCCCTTATTTTATAGATGGCTGGCCATCTTTTGGGGCATTAATGAAAATCTTAGTAAAACCAAAGATTAAGAGGAATAGGCTGGATGGGGTGACTCACACCTGTAATCCCAGCACTTTGGGAGAACAAGGAGGGAGGATTGCATGCCTCCAGGAGTTTGAGACCAGCCTGGACAACATAATGAGACCTCATTTCAAAAATAAAAATTAAAAATTAACCAGGAGTGGTTGTTTATGAATGCCTATAGTCCCAGCTACATGAGAAGCTGAGATGGGAGGACTGCTTGAGCCTGGGATATCAAGGCTGCAGTGAGCCATGATCATACCACTGCACTTAGTTAGCCCGGGCACAGAGCAAGACCCTGTCTCAAACAAAAAACAAACAAACAGAAAAACTGGCCAGGCGTGGTGGCTCACGCCTGTAATCCCAGCACTTTGGAAAGCTGAGGCGGGCAGATCACTTGAGGTCAGGAGTTTGAGACCAGCCTGGCCAACATGGCAAAACCCCGTCTCTACTAAAAATACAAAAATTAGCCGGGTGTGGTAGTGTGTGCCTGTAATCCCAGCTACTCGGGAGGCTGAGGTAGGAGAATCGCTTGGACCTGGGAGGTGGAGGTTGCAGTGAGCCAAGACCACGCCTCTGCACTCCAGCCTGGGCGACAGAGCAAGACTCCATCTCAAAAAAAAAAGAAAGAAACAAACAAAAAATGAGTAGTAAAAAGACCTGTGGCAGGAGCATACTGTCTCCAAGAATCAAGGAGGAGCTGAATTGATTTAGACACGTTGACCTAAAGTCAGAATGAGAGCAGTTGGAGAGAAAGAGCTAGGCTGATAATGGGGGAAGGGAAGACAGCAGGGGAAGCCTGGGGTTCAGCCAGAGACACACCTTGGTTGTTTGCAGCCAGTGTCCATTCTGACTGGCTAAAGTTGAGTCTTAGCACCACTGCCATGTAGAGGGAAGGATTTCCTTAAGAGAAATGTTTTGATTGTGAAGGCAAGACTAGTCCAATCTGGAAGGCAAAGGGAGATATGCCTGGACCCAACTGCTCTCAAATAAGGTATTATTAATAGAGACTCTTTTCCTTTGGCTACTACTAGGCCAAAAGGGGTGACACGGGTCCAAAGAACTCCAATAAAAAAGGAGAGATTTCAGAGAAGAGACTGGAATAATCTACATACCCACCCCACCCTCAACCAGGGAGCATAGTTCCAGGAAGCTCTTGAGAGGTCCTCTCTTAAAAGGTCAGATAAGGAGTCAACAATAAGTTTAATTGGGGAAATCACCCTTTAAAGACTACGACAGTTATACCAGGTAGTCATGCAACTGTGGCCGGATTTGGGGAGGGAGGTCTGGGAAGATGGGCACAGAATGTGTCCAGCATTACCAGTGAGTTTTGAGGTGGCTCAATCAGAATACTACAGGTGGGAATGTAGGCATGGTATGTACCTTGAGGGGACATACCCAGGAAACTTTTGGAGGAGGCCTTTCAGAGAAGGCACAGGAAGATGAAGTGAGCTGCAGTGAACCAGGCAACACAGTGGTAGACGGAGTCCCGGCCCAGGTTAGATAATTGATCCAACAGGACAAAACCACCTGCAAGGAGAAAGAAGGATAAGATGTGTTTCAACAGTCATGTTGTTAGCAGATTCAAAACTTCATAATTTCATATTGCTCACTATGGTGGACCCCACAAAGCAGAACTTAAGGACCATATCAGAAAAACAAATGTCCTGACTCAAAAGCAAAGGGAAATAAAGATGAAAACACTAATCAGTACAGCAAACAGTGCTGGCTGACATGTGATAAAGAAGGAAATGGCCAACTGAAGAAGCAAGGTAAAATGTGAAAGACTCAGCTGCGCTGCCCTGAAAAGAGAAGTGGAACAACAGAGGCATATAGATGATCAGAGACATAGTCCACTTCTCAGCAAAAGACAGGACATAAGGTAATCTGCTGCTGCCTTTGACACAGCTTTAATCCTCAAGGCAGAGAGAGGCAGTGCTCTGTGGACCAGCACATGGCAGAGATGTTTGTCCTCGCCAAGCCTTAGTGAAAAGCCTCAGAGCCACAGACGAATAGGTACTAAGAACCTTCTATGTGCCAGGTGCTGTTCTAGGCACTGGGAGTACAGCAGTGAACAAAATAAAGACCTCTGCCCCCTGGGAACATACATTCCATGGCAGCTTCAGTTGAGGAATCCACTACTAATGATTCTCCAGATTAAACAAGTGAGAAAACTGCCCCAAGAGGCAGGTATCACAGTCCTTTGAAAATCCAGGCAATGGCCAGGCACGGTAGCTCACACCTGTAATCCCAGTACTTTGGGAGGCCAAGGTAGGCAGATCATTTGAGACCAGGAGTTCAAGACCAGCCCGGCCAACATGGCAAAGCAAAACGCTGTCTCTACTAAAAATACAAAAATCAGCCCGGCGTGATGGCGTGCACCTGTAATCCCAACTACTCGAGAGGCTGAGGCAGGAGAATTGCATGAACGGGGAGTGGGGGGAGGCAGAAATTCAGTGAGCTGAGATTGTGCCACTGTACTCCAGCCTGGGTGACAGAGCGTGGGCAATCGCTCCTAGGCATTCAAAAGGGGTGATAAATATTTAGGAATTTTGCATGCCACAACCTTGACAGCTTAAAATCTTCCACAGTGAGAGTATTTACACCAAAGAAATGAGAAAACACTGCCAATCAGGGTTTATTTATTTGAGAGCCAGTTTACCAGCACACCATTCCAATGGCTGCTTACGAGAGGACGTGGGGCTGTGTTCCTGGCTCGACGGGGACACAGGGGAAATGGAAATTAAGGGGCGTTAAATCTACAGAACAGGGAGGAAAGGTTTCTCCAGCAACTTTTTTTTTTTTTTTTTTTTTTTTGAGACGGAGTCTCGCTCTGTCTCCCAGGCTGGAGTGCAGTGGCCAGATCTCAGCTCACTGCAAGCTCCGCCTCCCGAGTTTACGCCATTCTCCTGCCTCAGCCTCCCGAGTAGCTGGGACTACAGGCGCCCGCCACCTCGCCCGGCTAGTTTTTTGTATTTTTTAGTAGAGACGGGGTTTCACCGGCTTAGCCAGGATGGTCTCGATCTCCTGACCTCGTGATCCGCCCGTCTCGGCCTCCCAAAGTGCTGGGATTACAGGCTTGAGCCACCGCGCCCGGCCCTAACTTTTTTTTTGAGACGGAATCTCGCTCTGTCGCTCAGGCTGGAGTGCAGTGGCGCGATCTCGGCTCACTGCAAGCTCCGCCTCCCGGGTTCACGCCATTCTCCTGCCTCAGCCTCCCGAGTAGCTGAGACTACAGGCGCCTGCCACCATGCCCAGCTAAATTTTTGTATTTTTAGTAGAGACGGGATTTCACCGTGTTAAGCAGGATAGTCTTGATCTCCTGACCTCGTGATCCGCCCGCCTCGGCCTTCCAAAGTGCTGGGATTACAGGTGTGAGCCAGCACGCCTGTAATCCACCGAGCCCTAGGATTTTCCAGTAACTTCTAAAGCATCACTGAAAATTTATAAATTTTGCAAGAGGCTAGGAAGGTTTCGATTTCCAGACCTGCCCTAGGCCATAATTAACTTATTGTTGAAAGACTTCTCCTAATATAGTGTAAAGTTCATTGGTCAAGAACTATAGAAAACTGACATCGATTGAGAGGTATTAAGAACAGGCTGATATCTAAAAGTTTTTTCTTTTGTTTTCTGTTTTCTCTACTTCCCACAGATACTGCTGGGCCTCTGCTAGGCTTGTTAGCTGGTGCCAATACTATGTGTGTATTCTGTGATTCTGGGGACTTTATTTTGATTGGTGAAGTAGATGTTCATATGATTTTTGTCTGTTCATCAACTGAACCTCTTTCCCCTCCTTAAAAGTCTTGGTAGGAGGCAGAGTCTATCTCCTTTTATAGAAGCATAAAATGTCACTTACTTTCCCAGCTTCCCTTGCAGTCATGTGGCCAAGATGCAGCCATGTGACCAAGGCTCAGCCAGCAAGATGGACCCACTCTGGACTTTGAACCAGGAGTCAGCAATGCACAGATGAGGCCCGACAGAGAGGTCCCCATGATGACGGGGACACCGTTCAGCTGCTGACAATGCCTTCACCAGACTAGTTCATAGGTCATAGTATGCAAAGCCAGGTTTTCCTGTCTTCCATGTAATTCCCCAACTACCCAATGGACTATGGATAAATTCCTTCTTTGCTTAAATCAGGCAATGTTGGTTTCTGTGGCTCATAACCTAGAATCAGGACTGATATAACTGGTCTAACTGCTGTAGGGGAAAGCAAATTAGTTCATGTTTTCTAAGTCGGGCGTGGGGCTGGTGCTGGGATAATCTTCTCTGTTCTGTTAACCCTATGAACTCTAAAAGTGGAACACACAAGAGACATTGACTGCAGCCACCAGGTGAAGGCCCTGGGCTGAGGCTGAATGGTATGAGAGTGTTTGCAGGAGATCTTCATGGACTTTAATATCCTTGGTCTTTACCTTATAAGAGAAAGGAAATTTGATTCGGGGGGCATTCCTCCTTGGGAATGTATTTAATAACTAACATACTATTAAGAAGGGGGAAAATGCCAGCTAAACTTCGACAAAATGCTCTTTTGTCACTTAAAATGTTTATACTTCATTAACAACCTCTTTTAGACTTACTTGGACATAGATTTGTATCATAGGTTGTGCTTGTGCATGTATACAAGGGAAAATATAAGCAAAATAATGTATTCTTAGAAGCTCTTTATATTAGGAATCCAAATATTCTGAATCATCTTTGCTTTCAAAGTTGAACAAGATTTTTTTTTTTTTTTTTTTTTTAATTTTTAGACAGAGTTTCACTGTCGTCGCCCAGGCTGGAGTGCAATGGCGCAATCTCAGCTCACTGCAACCTCCACCTCCTGGGTTCAAGCGATTCTCTGGCCTTGGCCTCGCGAGTAGCTGAGATTACAGGAGCCCGCCACCGCACCTGGCTAATTTTTGTATTTTTAGTAGAGACAGGGTTTCACCATGTTGGTCAGGCTGGTCTCTAACTCCTGACCTCAGATGATCCACACGCCTCGGCCTCCCAAAGTGCTGGGATTACAGGTATGAGCCACCACGCCTAGCTGAAAGTTGGACAAGTTTTTATTGAATGTCTTTTTCCCCCGCTAAGACATAGTTCACACAAGCCTGTAACATACTCTGAATACAGATTTTTCTATATAGGACCTCAATTTTGGATGATATTCCAAAAGTTTTTTTAAGTTTTTTATTTTGAAATAATTTTGGATTCACAATAAGTATAGAGTTCTCATGTGCTCATTACCCGGCTTTTCCCCATGTTCTGAATCACTTTTTGAAAACCAGGATATAATTCACACACCATAAAATACATCCCTTTAAAGTGTACAATTCAGTGTTTTTAGTGCATTCACGAAGTTGTACAACTGTCCACTATCTATTCTAGAACATTTCTCTTGATTTCTTTATTAAAATCCTTCAAGGGAATATTCCAGAACATTTCTATCACTCCCCAAAGAAACCCTGTTATCTATTAGCAGTCACTCTCCATTCTATTCCTCCTGCTCCCCCAGCCCCTGCAACCACTCATCTACTTGCTTTCTGAATCACTTTTTAATTCAGAATGGCCTGTGTGCATCTCAGTGTCACTCTCTGTGTCACCAAGAGCACTGATGATAGAGCATTTTATAGCAGAGTGCTTCGTTCTGTCTGCAGTATTTTCTTCCAAGCTGCTGGTATCTGTTCTTAAAGTTCTAATACACATGTGCAGACAATGACAACTCCATCATAACTGCAGCCTGGATGATGAGACTATAATATGAACACCAATTTCAGAGAGGTTAAAATATGAAAAATTGCCAGGTATAGTGGTGGGTGCCTGCAATCCCAGTTACTTGGGAGGCTGAGGTGGGACAATATCTTGAGCCCAGGAGTTCAAGACCAGCCTGGGCAACATAGCAAGACCTAGTCTCTTAAAAAAAAAAAAAATGTGGGGGAAGAAAATGAACATGGACATCTTAGAATCAATGAAATACTGTAATAAAAGTAGGTTATTTAGGACATTTCCATGTTACTGGCATTGTATCATTGTCAGACAACATATTGTCACACATTTCTATTATTTGATCTACTTCATATCTTCTGGTGAGCCAATTTGATGCTACAGCTGAGGACATATGAGATTAAGAAATAGGACAGTGATGAATTTTCACCCCACGGTGCAGTAGGTATTGATAATTTAATTAAAGAATGGTTCTGCTCCCACTTCACAGCCTTTTTGGAACAAAGGCTAACTACCCATGAGTGGTTGAAGAAAGAATTCAAAAGGGCAATGGATTTTATGGAGAGAGAGGTGGAGGTGAGCCTTATAAAATGGGAGCAGGGTAGCAGGTCTCCAGTGCTCACCTCAGGGAAGTTCACTGGTAGGACAGCAGAGTGATGCCTCTTGCTCTCTCCAGCCCTCATTACCCATGCTGGCAATTTTTGAATGGCCCACTCTCCACCCTTCTCTGCCCTGCTATGTGCCCAGGCAGGCTGACTGCTGCAGACTACATTCCCTACTCATGACAGTCCTCTGGTTTCTGGTGGGTTTCATCGATAGGAGGG